ACGACGAATGTTTGGATTTGCTGAAGATCATCAACAGTGCCTGGTGCCTGTGTCAAAAACCGGATAGGCTAATCCAAATATCCATCGTCTAAATAACAATTTGCATTTTACAATAGAAGATTTCATAAGAACTCTTCTTCAGGTGGTCATCTATTGGTTAAAATAGAGGTTAACCAAAGAGTGGCTAGGAGTAACTGTATGCATTATTACAAGACTTGGTTTCATGGAACTCCGAACTTGTCAATAAATAGAAACGGGAGTTGGATGCTTTCCTCATTTCTCACACCGAGTTTTTCGTGCATCTCGTAAAATTCATCAGTTGATTCAAACAAATTGACGCATCGTGATTTATTGCCCTGAACCATTTTTCCAAGGACCGGCAAAAATAATGAGAAAAACTTAGATTGAAGTGACATGTAAAAGCCAGTGAAACATGAACCCTTAATGTCATGAACATGTCAATTCAAAAGGTTCGCTTGTCTGGTCATTTCCATGTATGTGTGTGTGTGTGTGTGTGTATGTATGCTAAAACCCGGATGTCGTTGTTTCAAAGGTCGCAGTAGTAAAAGTAATAGTTTAAACTATTAGTTAAAACACAGCAAGCAAGGATGCTAGCTCGTCGGCATCGATCGGTGAGCGGAAAGGTACATCATGCTGAAAAATGTCTGCCACATACTCCACTTGTAACAGAAGAGGATATTGTCGGATGAATGAGTTGAAGAACGGGAATAATCGAAGCTAGACAAAAAGAAATGCACTCGATTTGTTTCGGTGTATGTCGTGATTCAAAGGTACTGGATGTTGCCAGTCAGGGAATTCAGTTTTTCAGTTGAATGATGACCAATTAGAAGTCGGTAGTTGGGACCAATCAATTGGATGCAAATTATTCGGAAATACCTTGACTAGAGAAACAAAGATCTTTTTCGCTTGCACATGTTTAGTTAATTCACCGAGTATTTTCCACCAAACTAACTGCTACTTTCATCACTCTCTACTTCTTGTGTATCGGTCTCTAGAACTTTCGGTAGATTATTTTTGATTGCAATTGTGACTGCTGATAAGCAAATATTTTGACTAGCACAGTAAGAAATTAGGTATGGCCTCCGACTGGCTGATAATCTCTCAGTTGAGATACATATCTAAGTCAGTGTAGCATTTATGTTCCGATTGAACTATACCAGATACTCACTATGTTCCTTTCGCATTCAAACACTTCGTTCTTAGTCAGTATCAATCATGGAATATCAGTTAATCAGATGACATGCGGATTTCACACATCGGACCTCGTTCAAAATATCGATTGTATATCGCGTCAGAGAACATGTGATGATTACAGTGCACCGGCGACAGCTGGCATGCGATTCTTTGTGCCCAACCAGTAGTCTGCGTTGTGACTGACATTTATACCACGGTAAAAATTGTAGTAATAGTAACAGTTGTAAGCAATGAATGCGGAATACGGGACACGGAATACGAATCACGGATTAGCAATCACGGACGATTCATAAGCACTGAACCACTCTGACACTTGTACGACAGTATCACACGTAACCGAGACGCGAGGAAAAGGCCACAGGAGTAGTGGTTAGTTGATTTACTGAAAGAAATAAGTAGGGGGGGGGTAAATAATATGTACAAAACAAGTTCATTAGTCATCCGGGTCTCTGGCAATCGCGTTCTAGTATTTATACCGTTGTTCTGCTTCTGTCTCGGCCGCACGGTTTCTGATTGGTTGGTACAGTCGACCTACGGCATGTAGTCCAGAATCTGTGGCACGCACGCGCTTTGCTAAAGTCACCCGTGAAGCTTGATTGATTACAGTTGTCCGAAAACTCTAACGTGTCGCTCCAGGGTGTGCGGCTTCTCTCAGGCTGGAATCACCACAGCTAAGGGTCTCGATACTTCAACGTAGAGAATCTAGCATCCTCCGGAATCCAATTCACATGAAAGGCTAATGTACAATGTTTGCATTTTTATGATACAAAAGTTAACCCCTTAAAGAACCTTTATTCAATATACCACACGAGATTCTTCAATCAGAGAATGGCGACTGAACCCGGTTGGCTAAGTCCGGATGTAGCTCAAATATTATATTCGTAAGTATCCCATTGTAGATCGGAGTTGTCCTAGGTCTTCTGTTAACGTTAGACCA